CCTGCCCCCCCACCCCCCCCCACACACACAGACCATGGCCAAGCAGCACAGACAAGTGTCAGGCCACAGTCTGAGTTCACATAGGTTGCAGAGAGGCCTGGAGCTGCGTGGTCATTCCAGGGTCCCCAACCCATGCTTGCACCTGGCATCACTGTCTGCAGGAGCAGGTGGTGCCTCGCACCCATGCGGGGTAGGACAGCCCTCCCTGCAGTCGGTCATGTGTGGGGCTGCCCAGGCTGTGATCAGCATGACACATCACAGTACTGCACCATCCCCTTTGCTCCCACCTTCCCTGTCCTGTGAGTGTTGGACCCTCACAGCATTCACCTGATGTTCCCTCCCTGATGTCTGACGATGTCTGGGAGGCCTCCTGCATCTGGAGGACTGGCTCCAGGATGAGAGTCACTGTGCTCCTGGTGTTGTCATCCTCCTCCTCATCTTGGAGCTGCTGGTCCTCAGGGATGTTATCCTGGAGCTGCGGCCACTGCTGAACTGGTCTCTCCATCCCAGACTCCACTACATTCTCCAGAGACAGGGGTTCCCCTACCCCCAGGATTCAGTCCAGGTCCTCGTAGTAGGCACTGTAGTGTGCTGCTTCCCCAGAGTGGGAGCTGCGCTCACGGGCCTGTGGTGATGCATCGGGTTTCCCCCGCCTCCTGCACCCCCGTAATGGCACGAACAGACTCCGCCAGCCAGTAGAATAGAGGGAGTTTATTGCTTCTCCAGGATACAGCACAGCATAGATGGAATCTGGTTACAGGGCCAGGCCTAGGATGCCTCCGCCCCCCTTGAGATGGGCGAGACTGGGCCCCTAAATCCCAGCCCCTTGCTTAGGCTGCTTCCTCCATGATACCAGACAGAAACTAAAACTCTCTTCCAGCCCTGCCCCCCAGCCAGGGGCTGGCCTCCCCTCCTTCCTTTGTTCCTCTCCCTGGGAGGCAACTGGTCAGAGAGTTTGGGAGCCCCTTGCATAGTGACTCATTCCCTGTCCTGCTGGGCCGTGCTACAAACAGCCGCCAGTGGGGGTCATCCACAGCCCACCACCCAGCATAGCAACCAGCAAGGTACCAACACTACGTCACAGGGCCCGGACATACCCCTGCCCCAGTTCCTTGACCTTGGCTCGCACTTGGTCTAGTGTGCGGGGTGGTGGCCTTTTTTGGATAGGCCATTTGAGCATAAACATCCACATTTCTCCTCCTGGACTTCAGGGCCTGCAGAGACTCCTTCTCGGAGTACAGCTCCAAGAGGGTTTTGATCTCAGGGCCAGACCGTGATGGTGCCTGGCGTTTGGTGCCCCTGTAGTCTCGACACACTTGGACTAAGATTGAAAGGAAAAGTAACGGCTAATCAGTGGAGAAATGTGAAAATAATCGATGGGGTTATGAAAAGGATCCAAAATCTATGAATCTCTTGTTAATGAGACTTAAAAGTATCAATAGATGAGTGTGAATGTACAAAGAGAAATAATGGTATTTTGACTGGCATGTAATAAGTACTAGAGCTATTTTATATTAATCAATAAAATACTGTAGTCAGTGCTAGAAATCTCTATGACTTGCATTAACATTTATATCTAGGTATGTGATAGCAGCAACTCAGATTCAAGTCCGGAGATTTGATAAATGACTGTGCAAGATTACTAAAGAGTAAGTGGGAAATCTGCAGTCCCGGTGTGCTGTAAGGGAGATAAATGTTATTTCTACAATGCTTAGCAGGGAAGAGAATGGGTGCACTTAGTTAACTGGGTCTTTCTCCGCATTACCCGTGTTTAACTTCAAACTCTTTATTGCTACCCTCTTCTCACATTCAAGCAGAACAAGGGGATAGAGATGTGAATAGAAATGGGCCAGGAAATGCCCAACAATGGTGATATTAATTTGGAGCTTTGTCCAAACCCCCACAGCTGTTCCAGGGACTTGCAAAAACTGTGCCTGATCTGACTCCTGTTGAGGTCCATGGAAGTCTCCCATTGACTTCACTAGCTTTTGGATCACCCTGTGAACTTGATGGTGAGCAGGCGTGGAGACCAGCCAGAGAAACTCAGCCTGACTAGTCTTTGTCTCCGCAATTTGCCTAGCTTTTTCAGCTTCTTTTTTTGGAAGAGGCATTTCTGACATTTGGCCCGTCTATACTGGGACAAATGTTAGAAAAAAACATTTTTGGAACATCCCTTCTTCCTTGTAAAACGAGGTCTACAGGGATGCTGAAAAAGTGCATCTGCTTTTTCAAAACAAATTTTGGAAGAGCAGACGTGTTTCCTGGATGCGGCAAGGTTTTTTCCGGGATACCTCTGGTATTCTGGGAAACTCTGTAGTGTAGACATAGCCTGAAGGAGCTGGAATAAGAGAAAAGAGGGGAAAATAAGCACATCTGTCAGTTTGCTGGCATCTCAGCAGAGGTGAATGTTAAGGGCGGATTGGAAGGCAGGTAAGGCAGTGGTGTGTGAACTATCTCAGGAAGCAGGCTAGAGTGAGGCAGCTAAGGGTAAAACTGGCTGGAGGTAACTAAGGCTGGGAATGCTTTAGCAGTTGACATTGTGATAGATTCCTGAGCTATGGTGGAGCTCAGTTCTAGGGGCCTTTTAAAGATAAGAGCTAGCGGCTTGTCTGATGTGGAGGAATGACCAGCAGAAGGGCTCAAAGGAGGTTTTGGTTAAAGCAGCAGGCTGGGAAGATGATCTTAACAGCAGTTGGAGTGGCCTAGAGGGGAGCAAGGCTACAGTAGCCCAGTGCAGAACAGAGGAAGACTTGGATACGAGTTTTTAGCTAAGTGGACAGAGACAAATGTGGTCAGACTAAATGACTGTAATGGTCCCTTCGGGCCTCAACACCTATGACACTGCAGACTGATTAAGTGGAGAATGTAATCAGGCAGGTGGAACTCCCCCAGCAGATGGGAATTAATGCAGCTAGAGTTGCCAAAAGAGCAATGGGATCTTTATTCTCTCATGGAGAAGGCAGCTTCTTCTGTTCTTCAGGAACCTCTCGATGGATAGGCTAAATACAATCGCAGCTGACATTTTGTCCTAATAGCAAAGGAGGAGAGGGAATCTCCATCTCTGGAGATATTTAAGAGCAGGTTGGATAGACATATGTCAGGGATGATACAGATGGTGCTTGGTCCTGCCGTGAGGGCAAGGGAGTGAATTTGATGACCTTTCAAGGTCCCTTCCACTTCTACTATTCTATGATTCCAATCAGCTGAAAAAAGAACTAGGTTTTCAATTCCAAGAAAAATCCAACTCTGAACATATCACAGTAGTGCAGAAAAGACAGTAAGCCACCTCCACACAATCAATAAAATCCCATGTGTCAGAAGCAATTGAAAAATATAGATCACATGCCCATTTAGGACAATGTTCAAGAGTGAAAGTAGATCAAGGTAGCTGCCATTCTTGTATAGGTAGAAGAAACATGCCTGGACTACCTACTTTATACAACCTCCTCTGAGATCAGAGGTATACACTTGGGTGGCTAGCTCAATGTTGCCATAGCCACACTGCTAAATGGAGCATATTGGCATGAGCAGGGCTAGTGTATGTATGTCCACCCAAGCTGAGAATTGCATCTCACAGCTGCTATGTAGGTGGAATGTTAGATCCTCTGCAAAACCACAGTCAAACCTGCTCTGGGTCTCTTACAAGGCAGATGAATTGTGGGCCACTCAGTATTGTAGAAGCTGTAGAAACCATTTTCATATTTAGCTAGAAGCCATCTTGTATATCAGAAACCATTTCAGCTTTTCTCTCAAGCACGTAGACCAGAGTGAACTTTCTGTCACCCCGTGAGAAGAGGCCTACAGGATGGGCTATTGGTATGTGTTAATTGGGCTGGTTGGGACAGGAGATGTACTCCCTCGCACCTGTC